TTGTTTGGCAATTTATAATGGCCGGATTAATATCTTCGCAGAAGACTGCCCCTCCAATCGATGCAGCAGTAGAAGGGAGGTTGGCTGGGATCGGGCCTAATCGCTGCAGAGACCACGAGGGCAGCTATTGTAAAACTTTGATAGTTTATGGGATAATAAATCTTCTGGAAGACTTGTGCAGGAGGTTTTTACAAGCCGTGCGGCCCAGGGAAAAGCTGCATAGGAGGCTGTTGTGATGTTAATTAGTCTCTAGCAAGTCTGAGGGAGGTTCTGTGGCGTTTTGGCCAATCGCACTTACTGTCTGCGTGTCAGTGCCTTGCTGAGGCAGCTGCAACTGGAGGAGAGCGGAACCCCGCTCTCCTCATGAGCAAAGCTCTACCAGAGCCCTGAGAGCTTCTTTCGATCTTGATGATTCTTTTTTTCTTTTTTTCAATGCTTTTGTTTTGAGGAATGCTAATTAACTCAGATTCCAGAGACAATAGCTCATATGTCCAAGAGCTGAGTCGAAAAGCTGGGGCTCTCAGCAGAGGCGAACCTTTTATAGTGGCAGACTCAGCTCACGTCATAAGTGGGCGGAGTTATACCCAATGCTGGACTCTAGAGCAGCGTGATGGAGAACAAGGCCGTCAAAGTCACAGCCCAAGGGCCGGATGCATCACGCACTGGCCATGCCCATGCCCGATTTAGCGAAGGGGAAAAAAGTCCCAATACATCATGTGACACCTCCATGACATGAATTTGACACTGGTATAGACTATAAGTATTCTTTACATGACCTACAACACAAATCACTAGGTATTGCTATGGTGCAAATATATTGTGAGGTTTTCATTTACATTGCTTTATGGGAAACAATGAAAATAAAAATGTCCCCAAGTATCTCTTTCACTAACTCACTAATAGAAAAAGAAGTAAGGATTAAGCACATTACAAATGTGCTTGTATTCGTGTATTCGTTCCACTAAAATTAGTAGAAGCAAGCAAATACAAAGGTGCAAATACAGGGCCTGACATCTATATTATTGTATCATCACAGTGTGAAGACATGATTAGAGTATTTATAATAAGAGAAAATAGATGCTAACCAAATGAAAATCATTTTCCATGAGCAAAATATCCAATAGTTTTATTTATTTATTTAGGAACCAGCCAACCCAGACAAATCCCAGTGCAAATAAGACAGAATAACAATACAACATAAAATAGATAAGGCAGAAAGCAAGATGGTGAATCTAACCAACAGCATCCAAATACATACAAACATACCCAACAAGGGATCCCAAACACCTTAGCACTGTGTATGTACTATACTTCCTTCAATTCCCTTATTAGTCAATAATGGAATACTTTCTGAACTTCAGACTTGCTTTTTGATGGTTAAAGGCTAACATAATGTGAATGTTTTTCTGAAGCAGAATAAAAAGGTTATTACATGTTTTAGCATATGTTTTGCATAGACTTTTAAATGAATGAATCATACAATTTTTCTCATCGAAGAGGCAGTCTTAGTCAGGCTAACTTTCAGGAGTATATGCATTCAGTCGTAATGCCTAATTTCTCATGTAATAAATGGAACTTAGGCATATGCATTGGTGCCTAATTGAAGTATCATTTTCTATATGATATCCAACTCATAGATACATATCTTTTTGAGAAGGGGGAAAAAGTATCCCTGGTTTGATTTTACCAGAAACCTATTGTATGTTCTGGTTAAATTTATCATTAGTTCCACTGAACAAAAACCAACATTTAGGACAAGAATAGTCTTACCATTAGGCTGAACAAGACAGTTGCTTCAAGTGATAAGACATCAGAACATATTGCCAAGGTAGAAAAATCTGGGTATGTCACAACTTACAATATATGCCCCTCAGGCAACCATATGATAAAGAATATTGCACTGTTATAAGAGGTCCTGTTTGAATTAATTGCTAGTCTCCCCAATCTCTATACATGGAATAGTAGTTCCTTCATACCCTTGAGCTAGTTCTAGTATGGGAGATAGTGTCAAAGCAAGCTAGCAGTACTGAAAATGAAAGTTTGCAGTTATTGTATTAGTAAAGTTCAGAAACAGCAACCACACATTGAATAAGTATGAAAACCTTCCCAACATATTTGTATTTCATATTTGTGGAACTTTCTCACACAAGAGTAGAACCTGATTAGCACAGGTTCTCCACACGCACCAAGTTCATTAACTTCCCTTTCTTGGACTTCTAAATGCATAGTTGGAAGATACATCATCTCTGGCTAACTTGTTCTACAATTGCCTCTCTTGTGGTTTTTAAATATAAGGAAGTTCACCAGGCCGTATCCACTATACCAATCATACTGTGATTGTCACGCAGTTATCATCTATGGAGACCAATGAGAATTTGCTTTCCTACCTGGAGTGGATGTGATGACATTTCCATATTAATAATGTAAAAAATGTCAAAATGCTTGAATTTAACAAGTTCCTTCTTCTGATATGAGCATTCAATCAATCTTGGAAAGGTTAGGACATTAAAAAAAAAAGGCACCAATGAGAAAATTTCTGTCTTTTCCCTGACCACTACTCCTTAATATACAGGGTGTCTTTTATTCTGGATCAAAAAATTGTTAGTCATGTGAATACTCATCTACAACTAAAATGTCACAGCACAAACAGGTTTAATAACTTAATAAAAACTAGAACTTAAAAGCAGACACACATCTGACATATACAGATTAATTCAAACCAGAGAGGAAAGAAATCAACCTTACAGCTTATAGTTCTTGACAGAACAGTCACATTGCTGTCTTGCTTATCCATGGAAAGATTAGCTAGCATGCTAAAATATTTACTTATAGAAAGTAAGAAAAAAGCCTAAGAGACTGCCGTACTATATTAAAAGATTGGCTAGCCAATAGAAACAGTTCTGAACAGAAACAAAGGCAAAGCCTAGGATAAATCAAACTGCTCCTCCAAAAAATCACCTGGAGTTTTATGCTTGAAATCACGCCAACGTATCAACCTGCTGCAAGTAATTATAAATGCTTCTTTGCTTCTGTTGGCTTCAGGGAAGAAAAAGATAATTACTGAAGATGAACTAGAGAGAAAAACTATAGTTATAACTTGGCAACCTGACCACTGAAAACAGCATCTACCTGTAAAGTGGGAGAGACAATGTGAGATTGGGGAAAACTTCCAATTCATTTCCCTCTTGCCTTTCATATCTATAAACAGTAATCTTTGAAAACTTTTTCTTTCTTACACAAACAGGGCTGCAAGGTTGGGAAAATAAATGCTATGGTGCCATGTTCATGTCTAGGAGCTATTTAATATTTACAAATCACCTACAAAAATGTTTATTTTAGACAAGCTAAAAGGAAATTTTGTGCATACCAAAGTCTTGCAAGCATGAAGTTAAATCTACTTAAAATGGGATGAAGTTAAATCTACTTAAAAATCAAAAGGTTTCGTCTTTTTAAAAACATGCACAAAGGGGGTCTTCCTGGTGAAGAAAAAAGCTTTACAAAGAATTAGTATTTTCAATAGATCTTAAGTGTATCCATAAGAATCTGCAGTTTAAGAGATGCAGCCTAAGACAGAGCCTCTATCTCTTTACCTCAAAAGACCTTTTATTAACTAGAAGGACAATATAAGAACCAAACAGTTTTTGTCTTAATGAAGACTGTCCTATTAGAAATTTAAAACTAAGAAAACTCACAAAAAATGATGGATTTTACTGAGTTTCAATATTCAGTAGGAACAATTATGTGAACATATAAGTGTGCTGACAGTGAAGGACTTTTCTCTCATGACTGGTTAGATTAAATAGCATTGAATAAAACACATCTCTTCTCTCCTCCTCCTCCAAATAATAATAATAACAACAACAATAACAATAATAATAACAACAACAACCATCAAAGGAATACACTTGAGAACTACAGATATGGTATGTAATCTAAGATACTTGTTCTTTTTTTGTCTGGATTATACTTTATTAAAATGAATTATCAATTTACCTCATTGTTAATATCCAAATCAAAACAACATTTTTCAACATCTCAAGTTGGAAAATAAAACTAAACAAATTAAATCAAACGCTAAAACTTTATTTAAAAAAAAAAATCCATAATCTCTCACTCTTCTACCTCATCCTCTCTCTGTCAATAAGCACACCTCCTAATTTACAGCCTGGGACTCTTTCCATCCTATGCAGGAATGGGAAACCCGCCAGCCAACTTTTTCCTCTTCCTTTTCCGCCACATGATTGCTTTAAACATCAACGAACAGGCTAGCCCAGCTTCCCCAACCAGATGCCCTCCAGATGTGCTCCACTCACTGGCTGGCAATGATGAGTTTTGTAAATCATCCAGCACATGTAAAGGGCTCTGCGTTGGGAAAAGCTGGGTCAGCTTATTAGGAAATAGATACCAAAAAAGGTCAATGATGATCATGTACATGATGTACATCATCATCATCATCATCACTGTGATCATGACGGTGATCATGATGATGATAACCATGAAATAACCACAGGGTGTGTGTGTGTGGAGGCAATGTTATTCCTACCGCCATCCTTTAGACTCCAAAAGACCTGTTGTGAATACAGTGGTCCTTATTCCCAGGTTATTATATATAACATCTATCTATCTATCTATCTATCTATCTATCTATCTATCTATCTAAAACGCACCAACGTGTCTACCGTCCCTGTCCTATTGATTCTTTTTATTTTTCTTGTATGTATCCACTTATCTATTCATAATTATGTTTATACTTACACCTATTATCTTGTAAGCGACTGACAAATCAAATAAATAAATAAATGGACCACTGCCTTATTTATCCCCTTGATTTTGAACCCGAAGCGGCTCATCCATAGACAAGGCGTTCGCAAATACTCCAGACCCTGACAAGACGGGCGAAGCGCAGGGGTCCTCAGGCAGCAACCCGCCTCCACGCCGGCTCCTTCGGCCTCCTCGCCACCCCCTCCCTCCTTCCCTCCGGTGTCCTTTCTTCTACTCACGTTTGTGTCGTGGGAGAGATGCTTCCACTCCTTGTCCTTTGAGCTCCTAAATGCATTTGTCTGCATTTGTCCGAGCAGCGAAGTTCTAACCGAAATCAGAAGCCAACACTCCCGGACCTCTCAGGGTTCAAGTACTGTCCATGAAAACGACCTCCGGAACCTGGGAGTCGCTTCTCTTTGGCTTTTTTTTGCCCGGCGCTAGCTTCCCTTTAGCGCTTCTTCCACATAGTTTTACACTCCGCGCGGCCAGAATGGGAAGAGGGAGTTCACGTGCAGCTCAGGAAAAGACGTCCTCTGTGTGTTTGTGTGTGTGTGTTGGGGAAAATTGCCTTTGTTTGTTTATTCGTTTGCAAAAGTTGCTGCGCTCGACTTGCTTGCAACTGGACTTGGGGAGGTCGTCAGCGAGGAGACCTTGGCGCTGGAAGGCAGGAGCAAAAGAAGAGCCGTCGGAACTGGGAAGAGGCAGCACCTCCAGAAGACTAAAGGCTTAGCAAGGGGGCGAGGTGAGGCGGGAGGGGGGCTGGGGGCGCGGGGGCGGCGAAGAGATTTCAGATTGCTCTTTGCAGCGTCTTGAGCGGCAATAGCGCAGGCATTCGGCGCTGAAAGGCGAGAGCCTCTGGCTTTGGAGCGGAGCGAGCTGGCAGCCAACCCCAAAGCAAAGCAAAGCCTCCCCACCGCGGATCGGTGTTGAATTTCATCGCTCACTGACTTGCGATTACATCATCAAACCCAATCTTGAAAGGAGCTCGCGCTGCCTCCAGTCCCGCGCGCCTCTCTTCCCCCGCGGCCGCCGAGCGGAAAAAGACAAAGCGCGAGAGGTGGCGCGGGCCCGGCCACGGTTTGGCGCGCTCGCCGCGGCCGCTAGGGGAGAAAAAGTTGAGGCCGCGGCCTTCGGTTTTGTCCCGCGCGCTGTTCGGCGGCCGTGCGGAAAGCGCCATTGCAATCGTTGGAGGCGCTCTCATTGAGCGCTCTCATTCCTTCTACCTAAGGAAAAAAATAAGAAAAAAGGACCGAAATGGGCGCTATTATTATGTATGCCACTGCTGTTTCTTTTTTTCTTTTCTTTTTTTAAGGTCACTTTTTGAAGGCAACATTTGGTCAGGGTGGCTAAGAACCTTTGAAAATCTCAATTTGAAAAAATTCTTAAAAGTCGTGTAATAGCCCTGGCTACTACCACTGAGGTGAACTGAGGTTTACCCCAAAAGAAGTTACGGAGTGACAAAAGCAAAGCAGTTCCAAGAAAACGTATAAAATCTTTATTAAAGTTATTACACTCTGAAGGTCAAACAAAGCTAATGTGCAAGCATTTTCCAAAATGTTCATCAGACAGGATTGTTTCAAATAAATCAATAAAATCTGCTTCACATCACACTTTATTCCTGGTAATTTGGTGGACAGTAATGTCTTCTGTGTTGTTAGCAACAATACAGAAGTGGCTTGCCATTGCCTTTTTCTCAATTTTTTTTAAATATTTCCCGAATGAGCCCACAGCACTATCTTAGGCTATATTTTCTCATGATCTTCCATCCAAATACTCCTCAGTATGTTTCTGCTTAACCTTTTAAATCAACGCCAACCAAGCCTGGCAGGGTTTCAGGAAAAGGTAGCTGATTGCTATTAAATGGACATCTGATTATCTTAAAATATTTTTTACAAATAGCTTACAGACATAAACAACAGGGTTTTTATTTTATTTTAATTGTGCTATTGGAATGACTTGGATTCTGTCAAGAAACAATGGAAAAGAACATTCAACTAAATCAATATAAGTAAAGCTCACAGCGTATGGAGGTGTCTAACATCCAAAGACTGAACAACAACTAGAGAGAGGGCAGGTGGGATCTGATGAGTGTCAAAGCCACTGCCCAAAACCTAGAAGATCACCCAGAAGTACATCCGTAAGATGGCATCCAAAGATGACTTGCTAAGAGAATGCCTAAGGCAGGAGCAGACATAGGAGGAAGATCAAGCAGATGCAGTGCCATGACAAGACAAGGCCCTGCATGGGATGAACCATAGATAATTGAGGTGACAGACTTTGGGAAATTCTACCAGTGGCTGGAAAGGGTTGGACTAAAAGACAGCACTTGAAGCACTGATCATAGCAGCATAAGAACAAACACTAGACACCAAAACTATAAAAGTAGGGGTCTATCATATACTCGACAGGACCCAAGATGCGGACTGTGCAGAGAGGACTTAGAGGCAGCCCAACATATAGTGGCAGAGTGTAAGATGTGGGCAGGAGTGGCATACACTGAACAGCACGACTAAGGAGCTGATGTTATGTACAGGAACATCTGCACAACAATTAATTTCCCCAGAGAAATTGTGAAAGACTGCTCCCGATACCGCCCTGCCCCTTGATGCAATTCATTGACACATCATATTACAAGTTGCCACATCACATTGCAAGCTACAAGTATTTTAGTCAACTTTAGTACAAAATGATTGGGACTAATAACTATTAGGTTTTAACAACAGTTATGCAACATAAAACTGCTTAGCAAAAATATTTCATTGTGCTAAAGGTAGGCCATGTTGAAATAAACTTCAATAAAGGACCACATTAATGCCAACTTCTGTGACTTAAAAATCTTCCAAAACAGTCTATTTTATCTTATTGATGTAGGTTTCTACATCAGCTGTATTAACTGGGCACAAGTGTTGGAGTTGTGGCATTTACTTTAAAGTTATTGAAAGTATTTTTCTGATTATTAGTGAATATTCCAAGAAAACTATACCGACGATAGACCATCTCTCCTCCCAAAATTGTAAAGATATGAAAGCCAGTAGTCTAGCTTCCCTGTCTGCTTCAACCATCATAAATTAAAGGATGAGATTGCCTTTTACTGTGACCAATGCTAGCAATGCAGAATCTGGGTGGGCATAGTATGAGGTACTGTTAAAGTGCCAAAGAACACTTATATCAGATTAGCGAATTTCAATTAAGTACATAAAATATTATTTTAGTATCAATTACTTTTTGTGGGCTTCTTAAGTAAACCAGTCTGAGGAGATGGCACAGTGGGAAACAAAAAGTCTGAGAAAAAACAAGACAGTTGCATAAACATAGTGCAGGTGTGAGAATGGGATGCAGGCAGTCCGTCCTAAAAGGAAGGTGAGAGAAACTCTGGTCTTAAAAACTCCATTCCCCACCCCACTCTTTAACACAGACTATATATGGCAATATGCAGGTATGAATGTATGTTTGTTCTTAGACCATGTAAAAGTTAATCATTACCACAATTATCTGTAAAAAAAATGCATTACTAGTAGATTTTGTTTCTATTTCTATTGCTATGTTAAAAGGTGCAACTTCTGAATTCAGTTGACAATGAATGGCTAATACTAATGTTCTCTTATATTATCAATATAAGATATTGTTTTGTCAAATATATCCATGTTTTCCATATCTGTCCAGTAATGTTTTCACTGAGATTTGTTTTGATCATAGTGTTGTATGTGATGCCACCAAAATGCTACATGCTCAGAATGTCATACATATTAAAGAAAACGTATATATCAACATAGGAACTTGAGTTATTTATGAAATAATAAAAAAATTAAAAACACTTAAACTAATTAATGAAACATTTAACAGTTTGATCTCATTCAATTATGCTTGTAAACATCATTTTTATGTTTTTTTCTTTCTTTTGTCCTTTTTTTCTTTCTTTTTTCCCTTCTTTTCCTTTCTTTTCTTAAATGTTTAGTAGAAGAAAAATTAGAATAATATGGTTCTCGACCTGATCCAAGAAGGAGAAACAGAATCATTCCAATGCATGGTGGTCCATCAGGCATTCAGAAAGGTATCAATGTCAACAGGATCTCAAACCACTGAGATCTAAGATAAATATATGGATATGTGTTTCTATAAACTTCTCTAAAATCTCATTGACATTTTTTATTCAAGTTTAAATGTTCTAGTGATGATGGGATTTTGGGAACCAAACAGTTGATACCATAGTAACCCCCTCCCATAAGTGTATCAAGGGTAGCCTGCCAAAGTGCCCTCAAGAATTTGTCTGATTTAGTGACTAACCAGTTTTCAACAGAGGCTATTTTAAAGGTGGTGCCTTGTGAGCACTTAAAATTCTCTGACTCTGATTTAATCTCTTCCTTGCATGCAGCAATCCCAGCCAGACTATAGCAACCGCAATGATGTCTCGTGAATCCAAATGTCATTGCACAAAAGATAAAAATTACCTAAGTTATAGTAAGTCAAATGTGTCATAATGTGATGATTCACAATCTGTAATTTGTGTCATTTTTGTGGTGATGTGATGTGCACGATGTCACTTGCTCCTCCTTGCTTCCTGCAGGTGGTCATGATTGTATGGTATATCTATGATATATTGTTACATTTATTCCCACATTACTTTTAAAGTACCACAAATTCATCAGTGTAGATCTTATTTCTAAGCTATCTAAGTTGATCAGTAGTACTGTTCTTAGCCAAGAAACTGAGACAAGGCTTAAAAATATGGTTTCTTTATTTAGTATGAATCTACATAATTGGCAAAAGCAACTGAAATTCCTAGTGGGTACAACAGCAGCCAAGCCTTGGCACTAAAATGTAGGTAATAGTTTAAAAGATGAGGGAATAAGGGGTTTATATTGAATACAATTAGAGTAAAATCTAGCCATAGTACTTCTGGAAAATGTTTGAAGAACAGATGTAATTTGGAAGCAAGTTTTTGCCAAAAGAAATACTATATTCTTCATTCCATTTTTCCTTTTTGCTGTTTGCAACTGATTTTCCAATGTTTTTATCCTGAATGAAACACTATAAGTCTGTCTCAGAGATTTCTTCCAAGTTGTCTCCTAAAACATGCACAAGAAAATGTTAAATCATACAAGCCAGGGCCCATGTACAATGTAACAGGCAAAGTGTATGTACTGGTTATATGTCCAGCCTTCCGTGCTAGTATGTGAGGATCCCTGTTACCTGGTTATGGATTATAATAATCTTCAGATATATGCATTTTTCTGTTTTTATTATAATTGTAATTGGTCTTAAAATAATTTTCAGATTGTTTGCTGCAAGAGTCACTTGTTTGAG